GCGAGCGCTCTACCATCTGAGCTACATCCCCCTTGCTGTTGGACAAGATGGACTGCCATATATCACAAGTAAACACCCAAATCAAATAATTATTTAGAGCATGACAGCCGGCGATTTACAAGCAAATAGAAATGTATATAATAGTTAGTATACAGGAACTAAACTAATTCACTTTTACAAAGAAAAAGAATTGGAAATGATGAAGGACCTTTTTGTTTCACTAAAGCTTTAACGGTTTGAATATGAGCTAGATTTCCTTTTGGCCAATATGAACTAGATTAGTTTATATATTTATGTATAATAATGCTATAACTTTTTAGTACTTTAATTATTTTATCATTTGTAAATGTGAAATTATTCTATCAATTATTTAGCATGGATATATGTGTTTGGTAACATCAATTAATTATCATAATAGAATTGATCAATGTCGTTCTCATAATTAATTGATCAAATATTATTAAAACCTGCGGCATCTAGCCTTCCAAATTATAGTCTACACATGTTATGCTACGAATATAGATTTGAGTCTTGCTCTTATTAATTACGAATAATTAGATGCTCTGAAGAAAGATGGGCTGCGATAATTGCAGGCAAGTTATTGTATGAATGAATACCAAAATAAAATTGGACCGCATTTGTAACGTGGCATAAACAATGATAAATGAAAGTCCAAGAACTATCATCATCTCTCAATCCCACTCTCACAGGCCTTGGACGGCTATTTCAGACCTGCATTTGATGCTATTATAATTAATATTGTTTTTCTGTTAATGCATTTTAAATATATATATATATATATATATATATATATAACCAAGACTGCCAGGTCTAATTAAATGCAGGAGAGGACCTTGCAATTATAATTATTTTTTTTCCATGTTAGTGAGTGTCATTATCACTACATAAAACCAAAAGATAGCTAATTTATGTGATGATCTGGTAATTACGGCTTTAATACAAACAAGATTTTTATTATAAAATATAAAAAAGTTGGGAAGGAAGTCGTCGTTTGGTTGTTGTCATGGCTAGAGGGACGTCTTCCAGGCACACAGGGGGTAGGGTGGGGGGCCCCTAATCACGGATGCTTTTTGGTTTTATTATCGTCATGGTTTTGACTGAATGTGGCTCTAATTTAAGTCAAAATTTGAAATCTTGGTTTCATGTTTTGGACCGTTTCTGTTCTGCTTCTTCCTCATGAGGGATATTCTTTCTTCCTTTACAGATTGAAATCAATTATTATAAGCCTCTTGCTTACCCTTTACATATCAAATTTATTGTTTCTTCAGAGCATTGTTGGCTCATGCTGTGGCATTTCTCTCCCTGCCTGTCTGCTCTTTTTAATTAATTATTGTATTCTTTCTTGTCTGCAAAACTAGTAATTTTTCAAGCTTCAAGCCGTGGAAAGATCAAACCTAGAGGGAATGCATCACATTGACATGTATTTTGCTTGGGAATACATTTCAATGGTGTAATGTTAGTTAAGTACTAATTGGGTTTGGAAGTTGGTTTCGGTGATGGGGCCAGAGGGTTTGAATAGCTTGACAAAAGAACAGGTAGGGATTTTTTGTCAACCAATTTTAACAGATCATGACCATGGCTTACCAAACAAGAGATTTGTCAACAGAAAAGGCTTTGTTTTTAATCCGAATTGTTACAACTGTAATCAATCAGTTTACTTATAGAGTCAGCCACAGAAAGAGTCCATAAGATTACATAATAATAAGGGGTTTTGACCTTGGCCATAATCTTAAACTATAGGTAGAAGCTGGGGTTTTTCTGATTTTCGAATGTGTTGCAGTTATTAGATGGAATTGTAGCCAACTTGATTTTGAAAAAACTATATATAAAAACACCCCAAAAAAGTGACATGATCATGTCCAATCCTATACCATAATATAGCGTATTAGTTGATTCCTAACTTAATTTGACTTAGATCAATTTCATGGAAATTGGAACCTTGAAGACTTTGTCACTTGTGCATTGAAATCTTAGTATAAAAATTAACTAGCAAATGTGCGGGATGAGCTGTGATAGAAAACTACATCAATTCGACGACGCCAAGCTAGAAAGGTACATTGGCTGCCAGGAAATTGAGATTCTTGCTTTTGATATTGATTGAAACCAAATGTAATGGAAGCTTATCAACGGTCATTGCCGATCGATGAGCAAATGCGACACAGTCAGATGGAACTGATAGTTGAATGATTTGAGCTAGTTAGGTGAAAATGAGTGTCGACCATATTAATGGCACCAGAATAGTAAAGTTAAGAAAGCAATCTAAGACTAGATTTTCCTTCTCGTTTTCCTTAATTTCTACACTACACCAACATAATGTCACATTCATCAAATTAATTATGCGTGCGACAAAACCCTAAGTTGGAATTTGCTCGGTCTTTAAACTTTAAACTTCAAAGTACGCCCATCAATCTGGCATTGGAATGCTAATTTGTCAGAAATAAATACATGGGTGCAAGCTTTTGTTTTACTGCTTCCCTCTAATATGCTTGTCAAAGCTTTTGTTTTACATAGGGTGGGTGGTAGACGCAGAAGTTAAGGTCTGGAACTACAGTATCAATCAAACAAGAGGATAGTGCTGCCACAATATAAGTGATCTGAATTAGGATCTTGTCAGTTTTCACACATGTAGGTGAAAGTCAACTAATTAATAACAATATAATTATTTCAACTCAAAAACTAAAAGAAATTTGCAGCATCAATGTATGATAAGAGCAAAAGATACTACTCTTAACAAGTTAATCCTCACATACGGGGCTCCATTGATGTAATTAATTGTGGGCGTTAGTGTGACATGTCCTTGAAGTCTCCCTGTGCATGGTAATATTCTTGAAGAGAAACTAATTCTCTTGGTGCATCTTATTTAATTCATAACAAACAAACTTATGTTACACTTTGACGATGAATATAAAATTATACGTGATAGACATTATTTTCAGAAATTAAATGTTGTTGTTGAACTTTTTAATTATGTCTCTTAAAATTTTAAGTATAAAACCAAAGATTTACATATAGGTTTCAGTTGATTGACTATTTCCTAACAGAAAAACTCATGCAATAAGATAGGCTAGTGATGAAAGGAGAAAAGAGTGGAGGTGGGAAAAGCAAACCCAGAACTAAGAAATGAAGAGAGACTCGTAGAATAAGTTGGCAAGAGTATATAAAAAAGCTACTCTAGATGATGGAAAGAACGAGAACATAATTTGTTTGATAATTAAATCCTATATTGCTAGTATAGAATCTACACATGCAATCTAGTGGATTAGAAAAGTGGAATGTTCTCTTCAACAAAGCCCTTGATGGTTTTAGCATCCGATATATGCTATTCGTAGGCCTTAGCCCTTAGGTAGGAGCTATAGGATATCTGGTGATCTATTGAACTAAGTTAATTATATAGCAAATTTAGCGAAGTCGATTAACCACAAAGTTCCAACAAGAGCTTCCAATCTATTAATCCCTAGAGCTAATTATCTTTAATTATACATAGTCTGTTTTCAACTTTTAAGCACACAGGCTAATTAAGGAATGGTGGGATGTGCTTTAGCCTTTGGATATTGTATTTATGTTGGAGACATGCAAAATAGTCCTATCCTGTAGCCAATGCATCATTAGGAGGAAGTGTATGACTAGTATTTACTTGATCAGCAAGAGCCTAGCTACAATGGATGTTTAAAGGAATCTAGCATGCTGGGAGCCTCTTGTTTGGATATCCAAGGAACATTGTCACATGTATTAATATGACACATGGGTGTAAGAAAGTGCATACCATTCATCAGTAGTTTATGATCTGAGATATGTTGATCTACTTGCCCAAAGTTAGCAAACACAAGACATTGAAGCTTCAGAAATTCCCTAGTTCAACAGCAGCGTAAGATAATGAGTATGAAAAACACAGTAGAAGAAAGAATTCATGAAGATAAAAATAATAGTCAGATAAATTACAGTCACTATTAAATAGAGTAAGCATTAACAAAAAGAAAGCAAGCATACAAGTGAACCAGATTATTATTAGGGTTTTCCCTCTAAGGTTCTAGGACCGCCCATTCCTATTACTTCCAACTTAATACATTCAATCTACAGCGTGCTGTTACGCTCCTGGGTATCTCAACTCACTGAACGCATATTCTTGCAGCATTCCTTGTTGCAGGCCACCATATTCTGAAGTAACAGGAGGGCAAACCAGAGAGCTTGTATCACCCCATCCAATGCTTACACAAGAATTCACAGCTCTATTATTGACCATGTCTTCCCCATATAAGAACTCCATTCCATCTAATCTTTGTGGGTTGCTATATGCCATTTCCTGGAGTTCTGATGAAAAACTGCTTTGTCCTTGCAGCATGTGCAGATTTGTTCCATCTATAGAAGTGTACTGGGAGTTCACAAACTGAGTACCAATATTATTGTTTAAGACATCCATGTGAGGAGAAGAAGAAGGTATATGGACAGTCTGCTCATAAAGCTGCTGAGTAGAGGATGAATCATTTGGAAACTGATGAAGAGTTGTACCATCACTAATCACATGTTCAGCTTCAGAAAATCTTCCTCCAAGCTTGATTAGTAATCTTCTCATTGAGGCTTGGCTGTCAATGCGTTGGTCTTCACTTGAGTATGGTATGGGCGCCAGCACAGCCAGCTCTGGCCAGTAAGGGCTTTGATTGCTATGATCAGGAATCATGGAATTCCC